AGAGGAACGTTCAGTCGCCAATCACTGTAAGTTGTTACTGCAGACATTGTTAAACACTTTTTTCACATAACAGTGAACATATATAACATAGCACTGTTTAATGCAAATACTTTCAGTTTATAAGTACTTTTTGGTCAACAAATTACCACCACGAATGTTCTTCTGCCAGTCTGATGACGCCACTTTTCTCACACTGGGGCTGAATCTCAAACGGCTCCCTGCTCCCTACATAGTGCACTACGTAGGAATTTAAATACTTATTCCTGCACCCCAGCAATGCAAACTATCGCTAAAAATGGTCATTTGGGATTCATCCACATTAATACTCGACAAGCAGTCACTATTTGACAGCAGAAGCTAGAATTTCTAAACTTAATGTTACACAGCACTGTTTAGTTAGGGAGTATGGAGCCGTTTGGGATTCAGCCTGGGTTTGATGCTACTTCTGACAGAAACACCGACATTTGAAGCGTGTAAGATTTCATTTTCTGCTTCTTACCAAGTAATCAAGACATGCCAAACACATTCAATGATGCTGAGGCCTGGATTTTGAGGTGGCAGCTACTTTGTTTGATTTGCAAATTTCTTTTTGCACAGCTCTGAGTGTTGTCTTCCCCCAGTGGAAGGATGGACAGAATGTTTTTTTCAAACTCCTGTTTTTCACTTACTTTCTTTTGACTGTGTCCTTCTTGGTCCAAGTATGTTCTTATATCTAATCTCAGCAGGATGACAGTTTGTCCATTTATTTATTAGTTGATTATATTAATTTATTTGGCAATAGAACTTTAGATAAACATTGTTACATAAAAATCCAACAGAAGTAATGCACATGGGTTTCTAGCTGAAGCTAATTTGGATGGCTCTCATTAGTGTTTTTTTCACTGATTTGCATCTCCTGTCCATGGATGATCTTTCTAATTCACAGAAAAAAAATTCTGAAATGTAATAAATGACTCACTAAACAATAAACAAGCAAAAATGCAAATATATTTGGCAACATAAAGCACTCTGAGTCCGAGTGAGGTACGCAAAAGCTGAAGTATTTCCTAACTACTCTCTACCAGTGTGTGTCAAATGTACCTGATGGTACTGATGGAGGAGCTGAGAGGCAGATGGGGAGAGCACTGAGTAATGACTAAGATGTCAAGAAACATCTAAAACCTGCTTCAACGGTGCTTTCGTGACTTCTGGTTTGATATTGTTTCACCTGATCCACCCACTGCTCAGGTTTTTTCAGCAACGTTGATCTAAAAAAATAAAGCCCAGGTTTACATCTTCAGCTCTAAATCATTTGCATAATTTTCACATGGCTTAACAGAATTAAAGAGACACTTTGCTGTACCCTGGGGGAATATCATTAAAGACGACACTATGACCAGTGATAATTAGGGAGAAGTATGATGAATAAAGGATGTCATTAGATGATATAAAAGTCAAATGAGTGCTTGTGGCAATATAGTATAATAGAGCCATTAAATATGGATTAACATAATGGTTCAGGTGAGGAGTATGAAATAATAGGATAAGTGAGAGAGAGAACTTGCATCATGTAATAACAAGCTTGTGGAAAAAAGTTGACAAACCAGGTTATTAGTGAAAAAACTTAAGCCTCAAGTTCAGCCCTATACCAGCTAAGTGAAGGTGTGCCAGCGAACGTGCAGCTGTGCTAATGGGCTGGTGATAAACCAGCACTCTCTGACGTCCTCTGACTCTGACTCACTGTTCTGGCTGCACAGTGCACAGCCTGTAGAGTGTCTGGAGTGACCACCAGGCTCATTATTCCAAAAGGGAGAGTGGAATCAAAAGAGTGCATTTCCCCATAGATGGTACCATGCACATGTGTAAACCTTCATAAAGTTAATGACCCGATAGAAGAGGGCAATTCAACTACATCAATGAAAAGTTCAAATGAATTACAAACAATTATGACAATATTCAAATATGTTCTGGCCAAAATAAAAGTCTCAGGATATTTTCAAATGTAACAATGAGAAAAATGATATGCTGTGTATCAATGTTTGTTGTGTTTTATTCCATTCCAGTTCCTCCAGTCACATTAGAGTATAAAGTGAAATTGTAAAAATAAGTGTGAGTTATCTTAAAATACACACACGTTATATAAGCCGCTTATCGTCCCGTGTCGCTGGCGGGGGGTGGGGGGGGAGTTGGGGGGGGTGTTTGGGTGGTGCTGGAGTCTATCTTGTGTGGAAGGCACGTAACACCGTGGACAGGTTGCCAGTCCATCACAGGGCAGACACACAGACATATACATTCACACACACACACTCACACCCAGAGGCAATTTAGCATTTCCAGTTCACCTGAAAGCATGTATTTGGACTGTGGGAGGGAACTGTAGCACCCGGAGGAAAAGGGTGAAATCCGAAGTTTCAAATATATCAAATCATGGTAATGCTTTTTTTTTGCGTTTACAGCCCATTCTAAACATTCCAAGCATTAACCAGGTAAGTGTGAGGCGCAAACTTCAAAGTAGATAATTATTTTGGGAAACATGATGGTAAGTTAGGAAGCAATAACAAAAATCCAGGTAAAAATTTGCATAATATTGTAATGTTCGATAATATGAATTAACAGCCCAAGACTATTTCCTAAAGCATCATAATCGAATCATGGTAAGGTCACAGATTTACACGCCTACAGTAACTGAATGGAAGTGCGTCTCACTTTACGGCTCAGCAGTGTTAAAGCAGACAAGAGCAAAGTAATAATGGAGCGCAATCGTGAAAGGAGCCAAAGAGCCACCTGCAGTGTCCCTCAGGCAGAGGGCAATATCACCAACCGCTCAGCTGTTGTACTAATAATCCGCACTCGCTGCACAGAGCAGAGCAACCAAATCTGCCGCCAATCACCAACCCGGCTCGCCACGGCGCTGAAGAAGCACTCGTTAGGGGGCAGTTGTTTCACGCTGACATTAGCGCTGGCGCTAAAGTGACGCACAAAGAGTGCCTTGTTGCCTTTGTGGGCAGTCATTACTCACTCTCAGTGGCAGCTGTAATTACATCCCTCTTTTCCCAGCATCCCCGTGTTTACCCTGTGTGACTCTGAGACAGAGAGATTGGGCCTGAATCATAAAACACCCTTCTTTCCTCTGGTCATAAAGAGTCTCATCTCTGCCATATCTCAGAGGCAAAGCCCCCCCATATTGTGGGATGATTCACTGCATGATTCTCTGGCAATTGTGTCTGCCTCTTCAAAATGCCCATGTATTTCATGCTTGATTACCGGCTGCCAGCTTAGAGTTTACGCATCCAACCAACGGCAAAAACTCACGGCTGAGCCGGCGGCTGTTCTGACCCACTGCCTGTGGCTCTGCTCTAGGATTTTATTTTGAGCTCAGCTTAGTTTTGAATGAACGTCTAGGGTGCGTGTTTTATAGCAGATGAAGGCCATGGGCTTTGCGCCTGCCTTGCTTACTGAACAGTTTGATCAGAAATCTCTCTAGTGATGTATCATATCTGTCTAGTTTCTCTCTATTTATTTAATACAAACATTATTTTATTTTGTTAGCTGAAAGATATTTGGCAGATTAAACTTTTAAACTCTAAGGGTCTGTATGTGGGTCCACACTTCGATTTCTCACTGTCAGTGCATTATGACATTTTGATATCGCAATGCAAAACTGTCACAATGCATTGTGGAGACGTTCTCCTAATTATGTAACACAGTTGTATTGTTTGAACACCAAAGCAAACGATCAGCACTGTTCAGCAACCCACACCAGCACTCTGGTCAGAGTGTATCGTTACACCCTAATAACTACATAACTTACATTACTTTCATAGTAATTGCTGTATAATAGATTAAGATTAATTCTTAAGATTAATATCAGAACAACTTACCTTGGAATCAAGAAGTTAATACAGTTTGAATAACCAAATCAAATTGTGTTTAAATTTGTCTAATTTCTTTGAAAAAAATCATAATCACAAATCATTGTGAGATTAGAGATTTACACCCCTACTAGAGATGCCACTGATCTGATACCAGGTATACTGATATCAGCAGAAAGTGCTCTATCACAAATCGGTTGTGAACAAAAAATGAAATTGATCCAATTTTAATTAAAAGACAAAGATTCAAATTGAAAAAAATATCTGACTGGTATCTGTATCGGCCATTGGTATTAGTATTGTAAAAGAAAATGTGGAATAGTGCCATCTCTGAGACCTACAATAAAAGAATTCACACTCCAAGTTTGTTGGGATTATTAACAGTGCTAAAGTTGCAAGGTGCAAACAGTTTTTCTCAATAAACACAACATTTGATTGTATGCTGAATAGTATTCTTTCTGATTTTTATCTCTTATCCTGTAACTACTGTGCAAAGTCAGAAACCACCTTTAATTTATTTAATTTACAGTCAAATGACCAATAAGTAAAAGTTATTTTTCAGGAGATATTTCTGAGTAGATTAGATATAAGATCAGCCACTTGCATAAAAGTGGGGGAAAGTCAAATGAAAATAAGATTAAAAAAAAAAGCTAGGGTCCCAAACCAAAAACAGTTAAAAGATACAGAGAAAACGGTACTCCTAACAACCATAAAAGACCTGGTAGGCTGCTAAAACTGTCCCTATCACATAAACAGTGCTTAAATTTTTCATTTTTGACCGAGAGGAGAAAATAAAGCTCCACTCTTGCTTTGGATCTGAAAAATCCACAGGTGTTTCTGTCCATCCTTCCACTGTGAGAAGACAACACAACACTATGAGTCTGAAAGGATGTGCAGTTGTCAAGAAATCCTTACTGAGAAAAGGAAACAGACAACAAAGAAGAAAATTTGCAAATCAATCAAAGAAGCTGCTGGTGTTCTCAGAATAATAGGCTGACCACCCCAGAGTCCAGACCTCAACATCACTGAGCTTGTTTGGGAAGACTGAACTTTGTAGGTGTGGAAAAACATCTTTGCAGATTTCTTCAAAATACTGAAAGCTAGTCTCCTGATAAGAATGGAAGCTGACAGAAGGCAGAACATAAAAATCTGTTTTTATTTAGTTTCCGAGGCTTCTATGTAATGTTCTGATAAACATGTTCTTCTGCATGTTTTTATTTTTCCTGATGATGAAAAATGAATAACATAATGGCAATTAAGGAAATTAATCAAATGAAGGGTGGTCTCTGACTTCTGCACATTAGGCTACTGCATGTTACTCACTCTGCCTGAACATCATGGTTAGAACACTTTAGACCTACTAAATAATGTGTTTCTGTGAAGCAGCTGTATTTAGAATTTGAAAAATGTTCTAACACAGTGGGACACACACACACATTAGAAAAATAAGGTCACATTATAAATAAACTGTTTGACCCAGCATTTGAGAGACTGTCACAAAAGACCTTTTTGACCTAAAAACGAAATGCTGCATATTAAGACCCCAAGGCCTCATGCTACATTTGCATTTTCAAGTCCACAAAACAGACAAATTGTTTCATTAGCAAAGTTCATGTTGTGTGGCCATGCTTTAAAACAAGATTATTTGCAAGTACGTTAAGTTACAATGAGAATTTACCAAGCTGTTTTCTGGAACAATTTAACATACCATTTAACTACCATTTGTTTTTGAAAGGCATAGTAAGGCTAAACCACATCCTGACTACTTTTTGAGAATCATTATGAGGCTCAACAGCAATGAAATAAACACACTGTAGAGTACAGAACCATAGACCTGCTTGAAACTAACACTTTTACCTTCATCAGATCAAACCAAACTTGATTGGGTGAAACACATATTCTGAAAATAGCAGAAATTCTGAAAGTGGAACATAGGAGGTGATCCAAAATTTCAAAGCAGCAAAGAGGTCCAAAATTCAGGGCAGTGACCTTTATGGTTCACCCCAGCTTACTCCGTTATGGTTCAAGTCCTTCCAACTGTGAAACTCCAGCACATGGCACTTCTTTCCCGGCAAGAGCGGCTTCAATTTGGACAGTCGCTTAACTATCCTCATCTCTCCATCTGTCTCGAAATGGCCAGATTCGCCTCAGGCAAGTGAAGCACTCTGCCTAAAAGGTCCACGTTTCAGGGCTCAGGTCAATGACCCTTCGCTTCACCCCTGCCTCCTCCTTCATGGTTTAAATGACTGGCCAGCTCCTGGATCACAGCCACTTTGCCAATCTGATCGTTCCTTCTCCTCTCCATAATCAAGTCCTCCAAACTCTGAAACTCCAGCACATGGCACTGCTTGCCCGGCAAGAGCAGCTTCAACCTGTACGGCTGCTTGCCTATCCTCAGTTCCCCACCCATCTTGAACTCCCTCCTACCAAACTTGCACCAGGCAGCGAAACACTCCGAGTTCCTCCAGCTTAGATCTCTGCCCGTGATGCCTACCTGCTCCAAGGCTTTCTGTACCACCACATCTGGGCTGAGAGGTCTATACCTGTAGACCTCGTTGACCACCCTGCCTCTTCTGCCCTGGCTGGCTTGGCCCAGGAAACTGCTCTTTACTTCAGCCCGGTGGAGGTGGACCACCTGGGACCCTCCAACATACACAGTCCAATGTGGATACTGCCCAGCAGCCACAAACTCCACCAGATCCCCTGGCCTGCAGGTCTGGAGCAACTGCTCTGGAGCCAAAGTCTCAGCTGGACTCTTCTTTTCATACACACACTCGTCCCTGTGGTACACGGCGCAGGGCAGCTCATCCTCCCGCCTCCTGCGCTCTCCTTCTGGCCAGTCCCTCTTCTCCTCTCCCTGCTCGTCGCGGTCCTGGTCCTGGTCCTCCTCGTCGTCGTCGTCGTCATCCGTGGCGAAAACATATGACACGCCAATCCTCGGGGTGTCCTCTCCTGGATCCGGATCAGCCGTGGGGACTTCGGCGTAAGTCAGAGGAGCGGGCTTGTCTCCGTGGTTCCCCATGCTAAAGAGGAGCAGCCGGAGCTCCAGGAGAACCACGCACTCTCCGCCTGCAAACGACAACACACAACAAGAAATGTGCAAAAGAGAGAACCAGGTGCCCAAATAATCGTAGCCAGTTTACGTTCGCATGCATGATTGCGTAACTATATTGCTCTTAACTGACTTTCTCTGATGTAAATATGGCACAGATACTTAGATTTAATCAGATGCTTTTGGGACATCCAATGATCTCTTCAACTTACCCCTAAACACACACACACACACACACACACAAATCCAATTTTACGCTCTCATGTCTGATTTCACAACTGCAGCGCCCTTAACTGACTTCCTCCGGTGTAAACAACACGAAGCTTAAGTTGGCTTCTTGCTGGCCAGATTTTCATGGGAATTTTCGGTTCCACCTTAAATGGTGCAGCAGTTACATTCTAGCACTCGAACTCGCCACAATGTAACTGCAATGGAACTGAAAATTAGAAAAAGAAGCCAATTTAGCCTCTTGTAAATAACGTTTTAAGCTATACTACTGCAACATTGGCTGCTCTAGCGACGGTCCACAACTCACTGATCTGCTGAAGATTTCACTCACTCCTAAAAAACAATCCCGCTTTACGCACCCATGCTTCACCCACAACCGCACTGCCGTAGTTTGAATACACCGTGTAACAACACAGGCTACTCTACTTCAGAAGTTTGAGGCGGTGACTTTGAAGACGTCCAGTGGCCACAACTCACCGATGTGGTGAGGTTCAGTTCCTGATTTCTGCAGATCATCCACGCAGGTTCTCGACTCGCCCAAAGTTGCGCTGAACCGCCAGACTGCATCAGCTAACTGAGCCGAGAGAGCCGGCAAAACCTGTCAGCTCCATAGCTTAGAGGACAACCAGCGTTTCGCACGGAAAAGTTCATGACCGACGGACTGACACACGGCGTGCCAGACTGACTGACAGAGACAGAGAGAGAGAGAGAGAGAGAGAGAGAGAGAGAGCTCCTCGTTTAAAGCGGTAGCGCTGTTTCACTGAACAACCTGTTAACCACTCAAACAGCCCTGACTGAGGCAAATCAAGCAGCTGAGCTCATGTGTGCGTTTTAACCAGACGAGACTTCATTTTTTCCCCCTACCAGTATTCAGACAAGCCCCGCCCCTCGTGCTGTGATTGGCTGATAGTATCCCGCTTTCTATACTACAGCGGGATTGGCTGACAACATAATGCTTTACGCACGATGATTGGCTAGTAATTCACCTTCACAAGTTTTCTGGTAATAGGCTGGTAATTTATATTATTGTCCAGTCATAGCGAAGAAGGCGGGGCTTGTCGGAATACAGGTGGGAAAAAACGTATCACCATCGTTTTTGGTAGCTGTTGAATAGTGGAGTTGAGAATAGTTCAGTTACACAAAATTGCACTTCCTAATAGCAAACTAATTTATCTATTTTTACACAATAAGTCATTAAGGATTGAAGGGAAACGGCCAATATTGTAGGTAAACTGGCTGCTACTGTGTGCAAGAACTAAAATTACTTTTTTGTCATAGTTAATGTGTCCTATGACGTTTACTTTACTTTGAGATTCCTTTCACCAGAAAGAAAGTGTATGTATGTATATATATATATATATATATATATATATATATATATATAGTAGCATACATATATATATATATATATATATATATATATATATGTGTGTGTGTGTGTGTGTGTGTGTGTGTGTGTGTGTGTGTGACTATAATCAAACAAAGTTGTTGTATCAGCAAACAGGCAGCCAAGCACTTCAGCATGGTCTGACACAGAATCCAAAGATGAACTCTTGTATTAAACTGCATCTGTCACATACATGTCATATAAACTTTTTTCCGATAAAATGAATCTCAAAGTGTCTTCCAATAATTATTCAGTAATATTATGGATGTATGTAACTGAAAATTGCAATGTAAACATGTAAAAGATACCAATCAAAAAGGGTTTGGCCCCTGGCTCAAGCTTAAGTGGTTATCAGTGTCAAAATATTCTGTATCACTGATGTAACCTTCTGTATTTTTGGATAATGGTTAAATATCAAGTCTTCCTCCAGCAGCTGGTCTGAATTTCTCAAATAAAGCTAGTGAGGAAGTAATAAATAAGTAAACAGTTAAATATCTACTAAGTGGCAAGCATAAACATATTAATACTTTCTGCCTAAGGCTGCCAGGTTGAATGTCATCCCGTGGCCCAAGTCTAAACATTTAAAAAATGGAAATGTACAAAGGACATGATAACAACCTCTACAGGGTCAACTATTTAAAAATACAGCATAATAAGGAGCTACAGAATGTACCAACCTGCACTGAGACTGAAAACTTAAATTTGTAGTCTGCACTGCAGTGAGGGAAAAATATTCAGGCAGAACAAGATGACAGACAGAGATACACAATCAGTCATAGTCATCTGTTGGAGCCATTCTGTAGTGCTGTCTCATCTCATGCCTTTTTCTGTTCAGGGTGTTGAATTTATAGGCGCTGTCCTCAGGTGGCGTGACCCATTTCGGACCCTCGCTGCCCCCTGGTGACACTGTGCATTTGTGTTGCAGTAGTAATTACAGCTGCTGGGGGGAGATGGGGGATGAGCATGGCTGTGGCTAATCCAGAAAGCGCCCCAGGAAGCCGTTTTGACTCCATGTTGCCTCAGGCAAGGACTGCATACCTAAATGTTTTTTAGGCGAAGGCTGTTGGAACATGTTTATTTATTCATTTATTCATATTTATCATATACTTTTTACATATTGGTATATCATACTGTATTCTTTTTGGTGGCGGGGGGATGTCACTTTTGTACCCATTTAATTACAAGAGCATTGTTCACAGTCCCATCAAACACGCTACAACAAAGAGTTCCTAAAATGCAGGTTGACTTTATAAAACTAACAATTCTTCTCTAACACTGAGATGGACTGGTAAGGAACAAGGATAGGGGATCTTGTCATCTAGAGGAGAGGGATGGACGGGGGTAAAATAGAAGATCAGTGACAGGGAGGAACTAGTGGAAGTGGAGGGAGAGAAGAATGGACGTTGGGAAGAAGGTGAGGGAGTGATGCACAGTAGATACACAATGGTCTCTAAACACTCATCATGCTGCACCAATATCTCTTATTTATCTTAACCAGTGGCATCAACACCATCATAATCATCATAATCGTTATCGACAACCACAACTATAGAGTTCAAATAGGGAAACAAAACCAGCATTCTTAATAAAGGCAAGAAATAAAGAAAAACAACCAAAAAAAAAAACAAAACAAAACAATGGTGAGGCCACTGAGGGGCTTTCAACTCTGTAGCAATGCTACATAATCACGATAACGGTTTAAACCCACACAGATATTCAACACACCTAGGTACGAACATAAAGGAGATGAATGGTTTTCTGTGTTCATGTGAGATCGCTCTCAGGCTCTTAGTGCTCTCTGGACTACAAAAACAGGAGCTGTAAACTCTGTCCAAATGAGTTTTCCTTCAACTGGCCAATGAACGAGCCTACAACCACTGAGTACAAGCATACAGCTGATTGCAGTCTACTGGGTGCCAAGCAACTCATTTATAAGGCAACGAAATAAAAACGTACTAAAAACACTGTAAAAAATCAAACTAAAAAAAGAAAAAAAGAAAATGAAAGGATTAATCTTTGGTGTTACCACACAGTGAGGAATAAATGTCAAAAATATGCTTACAGAGTAAATTTTGCTCCTATGCTCTGTTATTACCCAAAGGAACAGGTTCCAGGTGCCTAAATCTATACCCAAATTTCAACCAATGAATTGACGAAACTGATAAAGAAAAACAAAACTGAAAATCATCCACAGGTGTTGTGCAAAAAGTGAAAAAAAAACATTTTCATGGTTGCATACCCAGTTGAACCTCAAATCAGTCAGGGTCACTCTTCTGAGATTTTGTGCAATGATATCATGCATCGGGACACACAACATGACAGTACAAATAGGCATATACAAGAGACCTGGGTGACTTCTTCCAACCACAGGATTGGTCCTAATTTTTTCTGTTTCCAAGCAAAGTCCTTATACATGTAACAAGTCACGTTTAAGTGAGAATATTTCGTATATGTATACTTAACAATCTCATCACTGAGTGAGGTGATATCTGACGCTTGATAATATGAGACGTTAGGAGTTAGGAGTTGTGATCAAACTCTGCTCACTGAATCAGCACTAGTGTTACTCTTGGCTCGGCCTCTGGACACGTCCAGATTTAGCAGGTGCATTGAAATGCTGGGTTTAGTGTGACACAGAGCCAAGACAGTAACACTGGCAATTCTGGAATTGATCATGGGGGGTGGGACATGGGGTAAAGAGGAATAAGGGCTGGTTGAGATGTTTTCTAAGGGCCTGGTTTTATGTGGGTTGGTCTTTCTGTACAGTGGAGATGTGAAGGGAGGGCGGGGCTCTGCCGCTCCACTCCTTCAGCTGGCCGTCTTTAAAGAGGAGGTTGAGGGCAGGGAGGGGGACGCCAGACTCCGCCGGGGGCTGGCTAAGGGGCCCTGAAACCCCACTGTCGGGGTCTGCAGGCTGGCTGCAATCCTAGAGAGAGTGAGAAAAGAACAGCTTAGAGAGCATGTGCCTTACAACACGCGCAAAATCATCATATCCACCAAGGAGTGTGACCTAAGGAGGAATGGGGAGACATGCATTTGAGCTCAAGCTGTGTCTGACATCAGTTAAAATTCTCCTCTATTGCTGGTAGCACCTGCAGCTGAAGCCAGTGCTAATGAGAAACCACCAGACTTACAGAAACATAACATAGCTAATTTATTACACTTCCAGGTAAGGATAAAATCCATGTTCCCATGTTCCAATGTATGTACATGAGTGGGAATATGGGCAGGAACATGGGTGAAGGGGTGGGGAATCTACACCATAAGTAGTTAGGTAGCAGTTAGTGAGAAGTTTTAAGTTGAGATTTGAAAGAATATTTTGAGGAAGTGAGTTCCATAATTTAGGAGCGATTTTACTAAAGGATCTGCCACCGATGGAGGATAATTTGAATTGCGGGGTTGTGAGAAGACCAGAATCGAGAGCTTAGGGTATGAGCGGGGATATATGGGTAAAGTAATTCTTTAGAACAGAGGGGTGAGACCATGAAGTACTTTACATGAAATCAGGACTACTCTATATTAGATGTGAAAGAAAATGCACAACCAATGAAGCCTACTGAGGATGGGAGTGATGTGTTCAGATTTCTTGGTATGTGTGAATACCCTAGCAGGTGCATTTTGGACAAAGACATTAACTAAGGCTTTAGCATCAGACATGCTAAGTGACGGACAAACATATTCCACAGGTCGAAAAATCTGATCCAATTTGAGCAGTTAAAGAAGGCCTCACCATAACTCATAATATCAATCTCAATTTTAAAACTTGACAGATACATATGACAGAACTATAACTAATTAACATGACCTCAGTCTTATCAGAGTTAAAGTTGGCATTCAACTATAGTTTTATGTCACACATACAGCCAAAGGTGAAGGGATTACATAACAGTGAAAACTGTTATGAGGCCATGAGAATTATCTGACCATGGAACTAATAAAGAGGTCCAAAAACCAAACCCTGTGGGACAACCTGAGAAATGGGAAAAGAGGAGGATTTGTGGTTCTGTATAGAGATGAACTGCAGTCTGTTACAAAAATAAAAAATGAACCAGGATAAAGATGCACCAATGATACCAATATGATATGATGAAATGATACAGTGGTTTCTATCATCTTTCGATAAAACAGCTATAAGTGGCTAAAAATTGGTTTACATTAATAAGTATTTTTATTTTCAGTTTGTTAGAGTATTCAGTATTATGTCCTTGTATCTAGATAGAAAACATTCTATAGTGTAACAGAGCACAAAGCTACAAAGCTTATTAAACCTTACCTGGAAAGACTGGACAAAGCTCAGAACCTTCAAGGCCAGTTTTCGGCTGGAATGTAGTAGTTCTTGAAGACTGGAAGCAGAAGCAGAACATATTTCCCATTCAATCATCATTTTTCTTAATACATTCTGTAAAATGTTGTAAATTACAATACATTCGGGGCTTCGGTTTTAGAGGTTACCTGTCCTTGCTGCAGAGTTTGTGTGAGACAATCCTCTGGCATACTTTGCGGTTGAGCTCAGAGCTGAAGAGGGGCATTC